AGTGACAACAAGTGTGTTTAACAAGACACTTTTGCCATTGACTTGTGTCACAACTGTAACACAATTATCACAATAGGTAAATTAAGAAACGTCACAATTTCAAATGTGTATATAGTCTACAGATTAATATTTAGAAAATCTAATCATACATAAATTGTTTTTCTTCCACAAATGTCTTTCCCACATCCTCTCAGCATGTCCTGCACTAAAAAGTGGGCTACACCTTGTACTGAAAAAACAAAACAAACATTCTGTTTGATCAGGGCCCAAAGTGTTAAGACCCTCTGGACTTTGTATACAACATTTGAAAAGGGGGAAAACCACAAAGAGACGTAAAATGACTAAAAAGAGACACAGAATAACCTCAAAGAAACGTAAAATGACTAAAGAGACACAAAACAACTTCAAAGAAAATTAAAATGACTATAGACACAAAATGACTACAAAGAAATGTAAAATTACTAAAAAGAGACACAAAAGTTTTTTTTTTAAAACACTGAGCAACCACAGACAAAAAAAACACCAAAAATATGAAAAACTCTTAAAATGACAACAGAGTTTCACAATGAGACACAGAACAACTACAAAGGGACAGGAAAGGGCCTCAACGAAGTGAGACAAAACCGCATAGCATTGCTTGGGGACTACATAGAGACACAAAATCATTGAAAGATGCGTAACCACACAAAATATAACAAAAAGAGGCCTAACAACTGTCTATTTTGTGTGTCTTGATCCTAAATAAGATACAGGTGGTGGGGCCTCTCGCATGTCTATGCCCAGTGGCCAATTGTCTTATGATCTCTCCATGCATTTGATACGTTTAAAAGTTCAGTAGGACAAAAAATAGCAGAGATTACCCAAGAGTAAATTGGTCTTGCTGCGAAAATACTAGGGATCCGATATTAGGAATTATGACGTCATCCCGATAAACCCGATACCAGTATTAATAGCCCCGATAATATACAATATATTTTTTGGGTAAAAAAAAAGAAAAAAATACTGCGGTGTGGGTGGATTGGGAATGAGGGGCGCTTGTTTTTCACTCGGCTCCTCCCGTTTTGCCAGTACTGTGGTATTAGTGGTTTAAGGAAGAGGGGAGTTTTTCACAAATCCAGCGCTCCCTAACTCATGCCTGGCTGTGACGCAAATCAACGCATATGCTCGAACCGGAGCTGCCTGGACGCTGCAATCATGTTGCGCACACTTTTCGTACAATGTCCCACTGTCTGGCTTCCTGCATAAAGTCAAGTGCTCGGCGCAGTTGTGGCGAAATGTCGCTCCTCTGTTTTCATTTAAACAGCTCCGTATATCCGTTAGCGCAGCTAGCTAGCACCAGATGCTAACAACAACAATGCACGTAAGGTCTCTCTCTCGCTCGCTCGGGCCACACATACACACACCCTCTCGGTCCTCCCAACAGCCAGTCGGTGACTGCCGGTGAGCGTGGAAGTGTGGTCTGCCACAAGCGGGCGACAGGAGCGGGGCTGTCAGCATCAGCTTGTAGATGGTATTTTAAACTCGATGCGCTCTGAAACTACGGGGCGGCGGAGGAAAAAAAATACACATGCGTTAATCGCGTTAAAATAATTAGTGGCGTAAAGATTTTTTATTATCGGTATCGGTCTTGAGAAGCAGGAAGTTATCGGTATCGGTTTCAAAAAACCAATATCGTGCATCCCTAGAAAATACTTAAGGTTGCAGAAATGTACTGGCGTATATTCAAATAATAATACATTTCTTCTACTTTAATCTCTCTAATATACACCTCTCACTCTCTTTTGTCTTGTCTTCCTTCTTTTCTTGCTTCTTTCACATGTTGGCCAATATGGGATACATCAAGGCAAGGCAGATTGAGCGTCCTTGAATAGCTTTGTCATGCATTCACTTGAGGTTATTTTGCACACATATAAATACATTTCAAGTGGTCTAATGACCTGAACTGATAACACATTGTGGTGCAGTCCTTGCAGTCTTTCCAAGGTTGGGTTATTGTTTCTTGTTGAATTTCGCATGTACAGTCCAGAATTACTATTAATAACCACTGTCTGATACCTTAACAAAAACAACATACTTTACTAGTATGAGTGCTGACAGATACAGCACAGGTACCAAGTTGCTATCACATACTTGATGCCTACTAAAATATACTATGCATTTGACCAACATTTAAATGATTGAGGTACTAAGTTGCTATCAAGTTCCAATCTAACGGGACCCTGATATATATATACACTCTGATAAAATGCTTTTTCTCTTCAATATAGACAGTGTTTTTTTAAATGGCTTACATGCATGTTGCTATATTTGTTATAATCCTGGCATAGCTTGCCAAGTCTTGAGTTGTCTCATTTCTAGTAATACTGAACGACCCCGAACTGTGCTGATTATTTTCATCCAGACAATGGTTTGAGAGCAGGCTTGCAAGAAAGCAACATGCTTATTAAGATTTTTGATGTAAACATTTCACATTGAGAGTAGAGCATGATAACATTCAGCAGGGACGAATTATCAAAAAGTTATTAAGTACTGCGACTTCTGCAGTGTGCATGCTCTGTCTCTGTTTTATACCGTACAAAAATACCTGAGTAATATTGTATCAATGTAATATACCATTAATCAAAGGAGTATTTCTAGGACCACAGCACTGTTTTCAGGCAACATCCAAACATCACACATTCGTAGTTAAGTGTTGATGCGTTTGTAAAAAAAATGTTGTTAAAGCTTAGCAATTAGAGCCAAAAAAACAAGGCTTTCAAACAAACGTTAAAGACACAATCTTGGATTATTTTTTCTTTATTTAAAAAAAAAACCTCCTGTTCACAATTGGTGTTTTGTAAACTTGTTGAACTGCTTACTCAAACAGTCCTGTAAGAACAACTTATACCAGTGCTTATTCACGGCCACTGATGCTGATATGAGCCATATTGAATCTGGAGTACGTTGGGAAGTCCGACTTTTTGCCGCATTGTTATGAACCGTTAATATCTCTTTTACACGCACAGGCTCACACACACTGACGCACAAATTCCTCTGGTCCCACAGGAGTGTATATTGAAGTATTGTGAGTGCTGGCAGTGAGTGAGGAAGCGACCCTGGTCCTCCTCCCAGACTGCTTCCTAGTATTGTTGCTACATCCATCTCTTAAAATTCCATGTGAGCATGCATGCATGTGTGTGTGCATAGGCGTAGTTGAGGTGCATTTTGCGGAGATATGTTACTTAGAAAAAATCGGTTATATGGACATTCCTTGGAGAAAATGTGCAGTCTGCTTGAAAACACTTAATCCAGATTTAGGTCATAAGAAAAGAGACATATTGATATGAACCACTCACTCAATCAGGATAAACTGAATAACTAGACCGCATGACTGTTGTTGTCATATATATAACTTTAATCCTCCTATATTTTTGTGTTTTTGCAGGCTGGAGTCTGAAATCGGTACACTGGAGAGCGAAGAGTCTCAGATCTCCGCCAAAGAGCAGGTTCTACGACAACGTCTGAAAGAGACGGAGCGCTCCATAGAAGACCTGCAGAAGGTATGACAACATGAACTGTCCCGAAACTTCAATGAGCTTCTGGGGATGCATTAACTAGTCGGTTCTGACATCAAAGTTGTGTAACATCTAGTCCAATTATTGCGATCTGTTATTAGTTACTTGTTTAATTACACCATAATTGCAGTGGAGGTTTTTGACGCTCATTAAAAGCGTTTTTGTGAGAGCAAATGAAAAAACATGAAGTCTTGTAAAGACTCTGCTGCTAATTAAAAACACCAGTGTGCTAGGTACACATGAGAAGAATGAATGAACTCTGTGTTTACAAAACAGAGCAGTAAATCTTTAATTATATTGTAAAGAAAACCTTGAAAGTGAACTTGGACTCATGTTGCTGCAAATACTGAATGTTGCTGCACTGTTGCCATTACCATTTTCTTTTAGAACACAACTGATTATTTAAAAAAATAATCACAGGATATTTGATGCAATCAAGCAATTTTATTAAAATCACAGAACAAAAAATCGAGAAGAAAAGACAGAGATTACGAAAATATAGAAATTGCATTGTTGGTTCATTTTAGTTGCTAGGGTTAGGGTTAGCAGATTGGAGATTCTACTCCTAGTAGGCAACGGACATTTGTAAACTTACAAAAACTAAAAACCGATAAAAACAAGGTTTTTTTACTTGACTCAGTTAAAATACTATAATTATTCAATAATCAGCCTTGTGAGCGCAGGCATAAGCCGTTCATCTCAAAATGGTATTAACTTGTTTACCATTCATTTTCATTAAATAAAGCCTTTAATACCAACATTTTCAAAAACTCTCTCTGATGACTCACATTGGTTTTCTCCTTTCTGTCTTTCAGAGTCTGATGGCACAGGGTGGAGGTATTACACACGCACAAAAGACACACACACACACACACACACAAAAGACACACACCTTAAGCTCACAAACACATCTCATCAGGACAGTGTCCTCCCCCTCAGTTATTGTTGTTTTCCTAGCAGTGGGGTCCCTCTCTTTGTGTGTGTGTGTGTGTGTGTGTGTGTGTGTGTGTGTGTGTGTGTGTGTGTGTGTGTGTGTGTGTGTGTGTGTGTGTGTGTGTGTGTGTGTGTGTGTGTGTGTGTGTGTGTGTGTGTGTGTGTGTGTGTGTGTGTGTGTGTGTGTGTGTGTGTGTGTGTGTGTGTGTGTGTGCGCTAGTCTGAGTGTGTACACAAGTAACCAAATGAGGCAGTGACATGCTCTGCCAAGCCCCGGACACAGGACTCATGATAATGCTAATGCTAGCCGGATTAGCGCCCCGGCTGAGGAAATATCCCTCGACTATTGGTGATAGCAAAACACCCCACTGCTCCTTTCTTTCCCTCTGCTTTATCTCCCTCTGCTTTCTCTTTTATTCCCACATGCCCTTCGTGTGACTTTGTACTTTTTGTAACTGTCCCCTAGCCAAAGCTTTTCAGATAAATAGTAAAAATGCCCGTTTTGTGTGACAAATGTCTTCCATCCACACTGTAACCACACTGTAATTGTTCTAATTTATGTCTTTAAGTTTGCTTGTAAGCTTTGAAAAGAATGAAATGTCTACTTATTTGATCCTTTTCTGGGCACTTTTTCACTTTAATTTGAACAGAGGACAGGGTAGAAATATGGAAAAAAGGAATGACATGGAACATGGTCCCACATGTGCTGCTGTAACCACTCGGCTAACGAGGCGCTCCTTGACTATATATTTGAGTTAAGTTGCATCTAGCTAACAAATAAATTGTGTATTGCAACCTGGTAGTACAGGTAAACTTTATGTGGTCTTAACCCATGCCGTTACCTAGCAACGCAATTCTGTTGAACTATTTATCAACAGAATTCCGTTGCTAGGTAACAGCATGGGTCATTCACTCCTTATTGAATGACATCAAAATGATGATATCATCTTGGCTTTTATGCTAGGTTCCGAGCTTCTGCAAGGTTAACTGCATTTAGTCATTTGAGACTCGTGAGAAAGTCGTGTTTTGGACGACATACATGCTTTTTTGAATATAGCCAGGTTAATATACTTTATAATACCAGGTGAAAATTAACATTATAGGCCTACAACAGATCCAGAGCTACACATTTTTCTAATTTGAAAAAAAATCACCTACACTCATTACACATTTAAGTGTTTAATTGATTTCAATCTAAGTAGTAATGGCAAGTTATGCATATTCAGCAGAGGAGGACCTAGATGAGAATGCTACAATTGCTGAAGGAAATGCCTGCAGCAGAATGTTTTCAGCGCAACAAATACCTGAAATTGTTGCATTATTTGAGGAGGCAGATGAAGATGGTGGTGGAGGTTTGGATATGGAAGAATTTTGTGTTTTGTTTGAAAAGATGTACCCCTCTGTTAAGAAGGAGGAACTTACAGTCCTACATATGCAGATAGATACCAACTGTGACGGTACAGTTGACCTGGTAGAGCTTTTAGACTTCTTAATAGCTAAGGGCAATGCATCGGCAGGGTTGGACTTTAAAAGACCATTCCCTAAACCTGTTGAATTTATACCTGTGGGTCACTATAAAGAAATTGTTGGTGTGATCTTCCGTCCCTTCGAGGACGTCAAACCTGATTTTAGTTTCAGAGAATTAGACGAAACCAGCACTTACCAGAGAGGCCAATACATCTCTGTCAGCTCCGATGGTGTACTCACCTTCTGGACGGACCGCTGTACAGATCCATTCACCATACCTCTATATGTGAAAGAAAATGCACTTCCTTTTTCACACCACAAGAAAATGTCTGTTAATAACATGCAGTACATTCAAGAATTGAAACAGCTGGCTATCTCCACCTCTGACAGAGAGCTTTTATTTTATGACTGCTCTGAAATACCCTCGCTTTTTTCAGTTAACCACACTCTGATGCTAGAAGAAAGCATTGTCAACACCATTAACTACTGGTCAAATGGCACTAAAGCAATGTTTGCATTTGGTGATGTACAAGGGTTTTTGACTGTTTTCATCTCCTACAACGTAAAGAAAAATGGCCTCTTCAACCGTGGCGTATTTGAAAAAATCTCTCTGCATGATTATCCTACAGTATACATTTCCAACCTTCTAAACAACCATTCAAAAGACTTTCTTTGTCTTAAAGTCTCAATTTTGAGTGACATATGCAGCCAGATCCAATACTTTCCGGATCTTAACTCATTTGCCATTTGTGGAAGTTTATCCAAGACAATGGTCCTGGCTGCCCTACCAAACCCACCCAGAACCACTTTTTCAAAATCAATCTTTAAGAGCAGTGGAGATGAGGGGTTTTTCACCTGTGTTGAATACTCTCCTTCTGCTGAGTTATTGTTGACTGGTGGTACAGATGGCTTACTACGGTTATGGTTACCCCACAAAAGAGACACCTGCCAAAAGTCTTTGGTGGGACACGTCAGGCCCATTACAAACATTGTCGTAAACAGAATGGACCGAACTGTCATCACTTTATCTGATGACAAAAATGTTCGTGTTTGGTCTTTGAAGAGATTGGAGTGTAAGCAAAGCATTGAGATTCAAGGCATGAGACCAGCTCGTATCTCCAGTATGTGTTACAACATACTTAACAATGATTTAGTTCTGGCTAACACAGATCTAGTCAAATATTTTGGTAGGGGAACAGATGCTTTTAAAGAAACATTAACATCCCATGACAAGCCCCTGTGCAATGCTCTCTATCACAGCATTTACAAAAAGGTTGTCTCTGTTTGTCGAAAAGGTGAGGCTACACTTTGGGATGTCTTAACAGGAATGGCTGTCATGCAGTTTCAGGTCACTCCATATGGGGGGCACACTGCCATTGCATTTGATATACCACAGCGGAGACTAATCACAGTTTCCAAGGACGGGAAATTAAAACTGTGGAACTTCATCACTGGAGTTTTGCTTGAAGAATTTCCTGTAACCTTGCCAAGTGAGGTGACAGGTATTGTCTGCATGGACGATAGTGTGTTTGTGTCGGGAAGGAACTCCAACAGAATTTGTGTCGTGGGTTTGGAGGGTTATGACAACATATTTTTGGAACATGATTATTTAAATGACATTTGCTCAATGGATGTGCACGACAACACACTTCTTGCGGCCTCTTGCAATGGAAATATTGTAATGTGGGATGTTGAATCTAGGGAGGTTCTCTACTGGCTGAATGGCAGTCAGAGCCCTCGAACTTACATTGCAACAATAACAGGCAGGACAGGGTGTTTGCCTGATGGGAAGACACACAAAGAAGAAACTGGAAGGAAACACACTGATGTGAACACTGGTCCTATTGTTTTATGTTTAAAGACAAGGGACGTCAATGTGCACACAGCCACACTGCTGACTTCTGCCGATGGCTTTATAAGTGCCTGGTCGGTAAAAAGCAAGGGAGGTTTGTTAGGGAAGTTCAGGGCAGTGAATGATGAAGATGCAATCATTACCACGATGTCCACTGATGTCAATGAAAAAATATTGCTGACTGGGGATAGTACCGGCAGGATTTGTCAATGGGACATTCAGAGATTTGGATTTAAAGATAAGGCAAACACTGGTCCATTCGAAGACATAAGAGGGTGGCGCGTGTCATTGTGTCCACCTCCTCTTTTGGGCACCTGGCAATCTCACCTCTCAGGGGTGGTGAGTGTTCAGTTTGATTCTGATTGTCAAAAGATTATTACTGCAGGGTTGGACTGCAATATCCAGCTGTGGAAAAACACAGGTGACCACATTGGATTATTTGGGAAAGATGAATGGGATGCTGATGCAAAGAAAACTACACAGAAGGTAAGAAGACCAGTGTCAGCAGGGAAGGGAAACCAGTTACCATTTAAGTATTTCAGGCCAGAAAGAGAATTGAAGAAAAAACAGGAAGATGACCTCGACGACATAAATGATGAACTTCCTTTCCTACCCCGGGATGATCTAACTGATAAAGAGATGGACCGTATCTATAGACGGTTAATGAAAATACAACCAAGTATTGACACAATACATGAGAAGTTCAAACAACAACAGTCCATACGCTCTGCCAAGCAATGTGATAGTGTGGTCCAGCAGGAGGCAGAACAAGCTTCTAAAGTGCAGCTCATGAATAGTAAAAGTTCATTCAGGCCACACCCGCCTCAGAGCCCGCTCATCAGTGGCGAGACAGCAGACCCTGATTTGAAACAGCCTGGATCTAAATATGGCCGTGTGATCAAGCATCAGAATAAATACCCTTTACAAGGCAGGGTCCTAACACCTTGTCCACCTGACATCGTGCCAAGCCAGCAGCGGTCTAAGCTAACAACAAAGCATTCACTCTTGTCAACCATCCCGAAAGGTGTTCAGCGCGCACATAATCAGACCCAGTTCAGACCACACCCGCCTCAGAGCCCGCTCATCAGTGGCGAGACAGCAGACCCTGATTTGAAACAGCCTGGATCTAAATATGGCCGTGTGATCAAGCATCAGAATAAATACCCTTTACAAGGCAGGGTCCTAACACCTTGTCCACCTGACATCGTGCCAAGCCAGCAGCGGTCTAAGCTAACAACAAAGCATTCACTCTTGCCAACCATCCCGAAAGGTGTTCAGCGCGCACATAATCAGACCCAGTTCAGGCCACACCCGCCTCAGACCCCGCTCATCAGAGGTGGCAGCAGCTTAAAAACAAGCTCTTCCCAGACACCTCGATTACGTTTACCTCCACTCACTGAGAAAGTACAGCTTACCACACGTAGCCGGCTACAACACCATTTCCAGGCCATTACAGGCCATAAATTAACCAAAATCAGGGATTAATTTCGGGTTTTCCGGCCGCTACGGTTTCCTCCCGCATTTATGTAAATAGAAAAAATGCATCCTTTTAATGACCTTCTGCAGATCAAAATACATCCTCAAACATGTAGTTTTACTTTCTCAAAAACAAAATTATGGAGATTTGTATTATCAGCCAAATCAACTGTTTTCACATAGCATAACTGTTTGTCTAAACTTTATCAAGCGTATCATCTTATCTCAGCTTTGATTGTCATTTTGGGTTTTCTCCGGGTACTGCGGTTTTGTCCCACATTCTAGTATATATAAAAAAAAAAATACTTTTCATGACCTTCTGCAGATTACAATACATCCTCAAACATTTAGTTTTACTCTCTAAAAAAACAACATTATAAACATATGTGATGATCACAGATGGCTGGATCCACCATGTATGTAGCAGTGCACACAGTGAAGGTGAACACACTTTACCTTTTTTCAGAATATGCTCCACTAACAAACATGGAGTTGTAAAAGCTCTTAATGTTCTTGCAGCATACACTTAATACCAAGAGCTCTGGATCTTTTAAATAGGGCCCGGTATTTATAAACTTGTCAAAAGATAATCTTATGAATGATTAAATAATTTCTGAGATAATACAATAATAACCAAATTATGAAATAAATATTGTGAAATGTATACCTACATGAATAAATAAATAAAAGCTGTTAATCAAACAGACATTTATGTTGATCTACATTTATTATTTTATGTTTCTGTAAATGAGTCTTATGTATTATCACTCGCGAGAGACGAGCCAATGCCACGTCATCAGAGGACTACGGAGGAAGGCCCGCCCCGTCTACGCCAGCCAATCGATGAAGACTAAATACGAGTGTGAACGTATATAACCAGATGTTTAATATAGAAACAGCCGTTTTTATTCTACAGATTTGAGAGACAGCTGCGCTAATCAATCAATCAATCAATCTTGCGCTAAGTGGACTGTCTATCACTGAAGTAGAAAAGACCTCGGCCGAGTACTTCTGCAAACTTATTGTATCACTTTATTTATAAATGCTGTTTACTTGACGAGAAGCTTCCTGAATTATGTTCAGCTACTCTACCTCAAAGTAATTACACGCAACACCCCCGACCCTTCTTCCGAAAATACACTTTTCAGTAGCTTATAACATTGATTTCTATTCCATTAATGTATGTGCCCACAAAGTGGACATGCACTGGAATTGAATGTTCTATTTTATCCCTGCAAAGTCTGCTTTTAAATTGTGCTGTGCAAAAGTAAAATTTCAGGTGATGTTCGCTCTCAGGTTGGAGACATACTAGAAGATTATTCAGCCAGTGAAGATCATATTTGACCATCTTGACAAATGCAGGCCAAATCCTAATTTTTGGCAAATGTTATCGGTAATGCGAGGGATTTGCATGACTAATTGTAACTACTGTGAGACAACCCAGTCTAACGGCATTTTGTGTTATAGTCACGACATTTAATCTAATGATTCGTGTTAGTTTTTAAATCCGAGCGCAATGTGCAAAGTTTGCAATATTATTTAATGAATCGTTTACTCTATTTTTGTTAAAGTATAATACTATTGCTGCTTTACACTTGAAGAAGATCAGCATATATTTACAGTAAGAAAGCCTCCAAAAAGATAGTATGAAGTGTTCAAACTTTTCAAAATCACTGCGGATGTATTCTTGCGGTGTCCGTCTTCTTTACTTTTTCCAAACTTTCTTAAGTGTCTCACATAGTTTGCCTTCTCTCACCCCTCCTGTCTATCTCCCCCTCCCCTCATCTCCTTCTTGTTCCTGCATTGTTAAAAGTATTTCTCACGCCATTCTAGGTTGTAAACCACATTCATTATTGGGGACAACGAGGCAGATCGTAAATAAATAAAACAATTTCATGCTTCCTGGTGCACTTCTGAATTGTGAGTGGGAGTAAGACGATTCTCAACTGTCCTTGTTCATCCGACCAAAGCTGGGACGAAATTAGATGAGATTGTGTGTGTGTGTGTGTGTGTGTGTGTGTGTGTGTGTGTGTGTGTGTGTGTGTGTGTGTGTGTGTGTGTGTGTGTGTGTGTGTGTGTGTGTGTGTGTGTGTGTGTGTGTGTGTGTGTGTGTGTGTGGTAATAATAGTCTCGCTGAGGCAGGAGGGATACAGGCCAGAGGACCTCCTGGACCCCCAAACACACACTCATCCAATCCAACAGACTCACACGTAGACACATATATACCTGTCCTGCACACAAACACACACGATGCCCCAAAAAACACACACACACACACACAGATCGCGGCTCAGCAAGGCTATTGAAGGTAACACACACACAAGGCCATGACTCTGCAGCCTGCAGTCGCTGGCTTTATCCCCCCCTATTCACCATCAAGCCCCATAAGCCCCTAAAGCTTTGTTCCTGCAATCACACACATACACAAACACACAATCACACACTTCTGCTGCATAAGCACCGAACCTCAGGGGTGCTAGAGTTGCCGTGGACACAGAAACAGAGTTAGATGGTGTGTGTGTGTGTGTGTGTGTGTGTGTGTGTGTGTGTGTGTGTGTGTGTGTGTGTGTGTGTGTGTGTGTGTGTGTGTGTGTGTGTGTGTGTGTGTGTGTGTGTGTAAATAGGGGGCGGGCAGGGTCAATCAGGGGTGTGGTTAGTTTCCCTGTGGGAGGCCGTGTGTGTGTTTGTCAGGGTGTGTCTACACACCACTGAGGAGTGTGTACCTTGTGTACATATGTGTGTGTGTGTGGCCCTCCCTCACGGCCCTCTCACGTCCCACTGACCATGTGTCATTTCCCCCCCTGCGCTTCTGCTCACTAGATGCCCTCGGCCGCATGTCCGCGGCTCTCAGCGACCCCGATCCCGAGCACCTCGTCCTGGCCACCCAGCCCAGGACCGGCCCCCCCGCCTCCGGAGAGCACGCAGCACCAAGACCTGGTAAGACAGAGAGAGGGAGGTAGAGGATAGGAGGCTGAGGGTGAGGGAGGGGAGAGAAGATAGAGGGGAGGGATGATGGGAAGATTTTGGGCCACAGCCAAGTGGGGATTATAACCAGGACAAACTCACGCGCACGTGGAGGGTGGCAGGTACCAACACACACACACACACACGCGCTCACACAAATTGAGTCAAATTTCACAATGACACACACTTAACCAGGGATACACAAACTTGAACATTATGGGTTGGATCCATATATGATTTGACTTTGGAGAATGTGTGTTATCTCCAGGTAAGATATAACTTTTAAACAGGACTACAACTCAGATTTGTATTAAATAGGTTATTATTAATAAGCATTACTTCATTACTTCTAATTACCTCTGTAACAGTACTCATATATGTTTTTGTTTGTATGGTTATATATAGCTATACAGAGTTAAAAATGTATTACTTTAGTTGTGGACTTTACATAATTTCTACTCTAGTAATACAATAATAATTATAACAACCATATATACATATAATTATTATATCTTTATTTGTTTAGAATTGAACCAAACAAGGTGTTAAGTACTTTATAAAATACATTAGATCAACCGTAGGAAATATAATTACAATGATAAGAGCTAATTATGGTGTTAAGAAAGCCAAAACAGTACAAAATATATATTTTTAAGTATTAAAAATAACAACAGAGAGGTTACCAATCAGTCATGTTATGATAGTCAACGGTTCATTATCCTACATGTGTGTTTCATTGTGTTTGGGGCTGCTGACTTTGCAATGAGCTCGGCTTTCAGGGCAGCGTGATGAAGTTAGACACTTGTTTATGATTGCAGTAAGATAGACAAAAGGGTAAGAACAAAATAACCTGATGTATGATTATTATTATTATTTTAATATACCTTTATTATCACTACATGAAGTGTCGTTTGTCAAAAGTGACCATGTGAGGACTAAAGATCAAGTACTTTTCTTGTCATTTCCTACATTTTTAGCCGTCTTTCTAGAAGGCAATTACCATATTCTAGTTGTCACTACTATAACTAGATATTTTGGTGTACTAAATGCACATAATACCTATAGTTTGCAAGGTAGTTCCATCATCATTTGTCTTTTGCTAACAGAATATATAACCGTTTGAATGAGAAACTTATATTGCAGTTTATCAGAGATCACTGTGTCCCCATCCTCATGCTTCACTCCCTCCACTTTTTCCTCCCAACATCCCTCACCCTCTCCACTGGTTCCTTCCCACCCCCTCACCTTTACCTCCTACCCCACTCCCTTCTGCATCAACCCCTCCTCCCCAATCCCTTCCCCCCCTCCCCTCCTAACAGCAATGTTTGCCATGGAGATCAACGTGCAGCACGACCCGACGACCGGCGAGCAGCGCATCCTGTCGGCCAATCGCGTGAGCCCGCTGGATGCGGCGTCGCGCGGCGTCAAAGTCTTCGACGACGGCAGGAAGGTGGTCTACGAGGTCACATCCTCCGGGGGCGTGTCCACCAGCAACACGATGGAGAACGGGTGGAGCTCCGCGCAGGTGGACCAGCTGATCCAGAGAGCAGCCAGGCCGGGGTCTCAAGGAGGCGAGGGCGACAGGGGCAACGTGACGGTGACCCCCGCCGCCCCGCAGGCCTACATCTCCCCCGCAGATACTGACGACCTGTCTCCACCCTCCTGCGCTCCGCCCTCCGTTCCTTCGAGCCCGCCCGCCCAGGTGACCCTCCAGAGGGAGCCTCAGCTCGGCATGATGCCCCCTTCTGCTCCCATCACCACCCAGCCCGCCTCCTCCGCCCACCCCGGTGGTGAGTTCAGCTCGCTGCCCCAGGCCAGCACAGAGCACCCAATCACCATGGTGTTCCTCGGCTACCAGGACGTGGAGGACACGAGCGAGAGCAGGAGGCTGCTGGGATTCGACGGCACCGTGAAGGCCGAGGTGGTGCTCATCGACGAAGACGACGAGAAGTCTCTGCGGGAGAAGACGGTCACCGACATGTCCATCATCGACGGCACGGCGGCCGACCTGGTGTCGGGGCGGCCGGCCACGTCAGAGGGCGCCAGCACGGAACTGTCATCCGACGGCCATGACCCCGACAGCGCCTCCTCGCCCCCCGCCAACCCCGACGCCAACACGGCCTCCCTGCCAGGCCTCACCCCCGCCACAGGTACAGACAAGAGGAAACGCTGCGAGTGCTGTATCCTCATGTGACTGAATCTTCTCCCTCTTCCAACCCTTTTATTATTACCCACAACACCCCCTCTCTTCTCCTCTGTCTCTGGATGGTTACTAACAGAAGCCCCACCTTCTTCCTCATCTTCCTCTGGACTCTGATCGGCTGGCACACACATGCACGCACACACGCTCTCGTCTGACCTTTGACTTTTTACTCAGTTATGTTATGACCTCTACATCTCTGCTTTTTCATTACCCTACTGTCTCCTCAGACGACTCAATTACAATTAAGCTGTTGTCCCTTTGGTATATCACCGGTAACCAGACCTTCAAATTAGTTGTTGACAAACAGCTTAAACCAGGTAAAATGATATAACAACTCTCAGTGGACCATCACTCAGAATACAGCGGTGTCTAACAATCAACTAGGTCATCACCTCTAAATAAGCCAGTGTATAAAACATTCAAAAAGGTAGACACAGTCTCAGTAATATCCCACTCCCTTTTCTGTAAATTCTCCCCTGTTGTCCCCAAACACAACACACCCTCAAACAAAACCACCCCCCCCCCCCCCCCTCCCTTGTAGCCTACCGTCTCTCTCTGACCCGGGGGAGGAGGGTACTTGTTGCCTTGGTTTCTTTACGTGCCTCTTCATTCTTCCTGACAAAAAAAAAATAGAGAAAATTAAAAGTTTTCTATTAGGTTTCATTTCGGTTTGCTGTTGCTATCTGATTTTTTTCTATTGTTTTGAAATGTAAAAGGCCATTGAATTGTTGGGACGCCTGTTTCCGTGGGAAACTGAAGTTTTTTGACATTGTAGTTAGCAGTAACAAGACTCTTTCTCTCTGTCGTTTTTGTATCCATTAACTCCAGCTATTCCACTGCTGAGGCCATTTCCTCCTATTCTAGCACTTCCTAACTCAGCAGCCAATAAGAAGCCGTGGAACACCTTTTGGCAGCCAGTAGGATCTATACAGCCAACGTTTTCCAGTGTGTCTAAAGGCTACAGAGCACAGGAAGCTAATGGCAGCTTAATGAGTACACTGGCAGCAAAGGAACATGTATTTCCGCCTATGAAAACAAACATGGATTACTACCACTAACAGTAGGGCACAAAGTTTTGAATAATAAATATTATTGAGCACTACCACAATACTCAATGACGGCCGTGCTCATGGGAATTATCGTGTTCATGTTCATCTTTTTGTCCAGAAGGCCAACAGAGATCCATTGTAGTCTTACCAATTCAAAGACACGGAAAACACTGCCAGCTCATGCTGTAGTAACCGACCAGGCCCTCGTTTACAAGGCTGCTGCAAATAATGTGGCCTGGGTGTGGTAATAACATCAAATATATATATATTACACTGTAGGTCATTTACTTGGCTGGTTTTCAGAAGAAGCCCTCAAAAGCGGTAATCATCCTCATTCTGTTGAATGATAATGGACGCTGTGTAAACGATTTTGGTTTCATTTACAAGTGTCTTTGATGTTTTAGAGGATGGCAATGCTCAATAGGCATCTAATGAATTGCTACACTTTGCCATTTTGCCCTACTGTAGAAATGGCTGTCTTTAGTGTGCGATCAATAGATGTATATGGGCCAGATATGTGATTGAAAAAGAAGCCTGCACATTTATAAAGACGTTAGAGAGGCTCTTTAGATCCAAACAATGTGATTTGGTGTTGTTTGTAAATCACATCAAAACAATGTTTTTCAACATGAAATAATAAAAAACTGACCTCAAGAGCCCCAAAACTTTTTTATTCAGAGTGCAGAACTTCTCTTCTCTACGCAGCCAATGTGTTTGACTGCATTACTGGTCCTGGGAATACAGTAAAGAACACAACATCTCTATGCACTGTGTACTAACTCTACGGAGGCACTGAGAGGCAAGTGAGAAAAAAATGCTAGTATGATCTAAATAGTTTTTTGTCCTTAGTTTGAATTGGGTTTTGCAAGGATTCTTTCCTTACATTTTTTTTCATCTGTGAAACGGGTGCATAATAAAAAATTAAAAACCTGATTACATTTTTTTTTTAAAACTCTGATTGGAAAAAATATGTTCCCACCACTTTTGAAAAAACGTTTTAAGTAATTACAAATATTATACTGACAAACCCTTTATTCACCTGTTCTATAATCATTTATTTTTAGATCATACTTATGAAATAGATCCACAGAGTTATTTTACTCACTTGCATTTATTGGCTTCCGTATTACTTTGAAAGAAAATGAAAGCCAGAAACAATATTTCTTGGCAACAAATGATAAATGTCCAGCATTGAAAGGTCTCTGGGTGAATCAGTGGTATCTTCACATGGCGCTGTGCACAGCAAAACAGTCCCACCACTGAACTGTCAATGCAGCACTTGTATGCCGGCCTCCAAAACATACAAGCTTTAGTGTGATTGGCCACTGCTGCTGTCAGTCAGTCCAGCTGGCTGTGTGATTGGCCGCCATGCAGGGCCCTCCGGGGTCTAGTTTCTTGTGTAGATAAAGAATGTAAATATGCTATATTCTATTTAGTGATTTTATTTTCCACATCTATATAGAGATCTAGAGATAAATTCTGATTTATTATGGGTACTAGACATTGTTCTAATGTCCTACGATGCCATATGATGACTGTATGAGTGCACAAACACGAGCGTTGTATATTTTCATTCTTCTAACTTCACTGCTTTGCT